TAAAAAGGTTGCTGTGTACTATGTTCCCTGCTGAATGGTGGTCTGCAGGTTTCATAGCTAGAGGCGCCCTCATGACGGGAATGAAGTAGTTCCATGAGCTTAATCACGTCAAGCGTCAAAAGAAAACTCGCATCATTAGCTACTTTCTTAAAAGGCACATTTAGAGTAATATAGGTCATACATGTTTTTATGAGTTGCTTGTCTAGCCTACAATCGGAAGTAGTTTCAGAAAATGTGGCGCCTAATTTTACAGTTTATTTTTCCCTATAATTAAATGATTCTTGTAGCAGCAGTTTTATGTCTCGTTATACTTCCTTATCAAACCATTTAAACTTGTATGAATAACACATCCTCCAACAATGATTAGCCTTCTTTTACACAACTTTCCTAGTACTTGCAGCACCGGTTGCACTGAAACAAGTGACTTCTATGCCTGGTGTTAAGAGTATTACCATCGGATCAACTTCCGTTAAGAAATGTGGCGTACCATTAGCATATGATGTCTGAAAAATCCATTTTGCAAGCCCATTGACTAATATACATTATCTCCGGGGGTCATCACAACTTTCACTTCGACATTGCTGTAATCAACGGTCGAAGTTAGTCATCCTCCAATTTTTGCTTTGATATTTTGATTGAGCTTCTGGATCAGAAATTGATGTTCCCCGTATATTATACTATGAAAGTTACTTGCTATTTATAAGTAAGAAAATTATGAAGTTCGACAACCCGCTTATGTTTTCCTTCTCGTAATATGATCATATAATATAAACTGTTTATATTCCGTTGTGTAAACCGCTGTGCGTGTAGTGTTGTCCCCAGCAGTTTGAGACTATAACGGTAAAAAAGGTCAAATAAAAATTCTCAGGTTCAACACGCGTTCAAATTGCAAAAAATTGTAGACTTTAACCGTCCGTTGAATAGTGGTCTAAGTGGGTTAATATTTTCAAGGCCGACGTTGTCAAAGTAAAATGGAAGAAGTGGAGGGAAGAGGGCTCAATTGTTGCAAACCAAACTACAATCTTTAGACTGGCTTCAAGGCGCTATTGCAATCAGTATCTTGTATCTTGAGGACTACTTACCCAGGGATCAATAATGATGAGCTTCCTGTCTCTTTTATTTTTGAAAAGTAATCCACTCGGATTGTCCGCAATGACAATATAATTTGGCGTCGAAGTAGACGAAACATGTTGAGATTCCCAATTATAGAAGCTTGAAGAGTAGATAAAACTTTTGTTTATATCTTATCGCTCACCTCAAGTCCCCCACACGTGGCAGAAGCTTCTTTTTACCAGAAAAGTAAGGAACAAAATCCTCATTTTTCAAACGGTGTGCGTAGTCCACGTAGCCTGAAATTTCTTGGCCCTTCGTATTTGTGTGGCGAATAAATATAATCGTCTTGTGCAAAACATATATAAAAAGTTCACATACTGACAAGTTTCCTCGGCGATTCGATTCCTCTCTAGCAGCCAAAGCTAGCAAACCAGGTTCTGTTATAATAATTCCTTCATGGTCCAAAGCTCTTGCATGTAAAATAATAGATTATTTAGCAACTTAAAATAGGTAAAAATAAATCTATAAAATGCAAGGTTGTCAAAAATAATGACCTTACTAGCATGCAGATTGATTAGCTATGCATAGATATAAAGTTAAATAGCCCAATGGTATATCTGCTGTTGTCTGTAATGCAAGAAGCAACGGTAAAAAAGCAGATTACTTTTTGGCCACTTTTCTCTTCTCCGCCAAAGCGGCAAGTTCGTCTTTTCTTTTTATAAATTGTTCACGTTTTATTATTTCACTAGTTCCTCGGTAGCCCAACTCAACCAGTTCTCTGGCAAGTTCTTCATCCTACTGCCATGTAAGCAGCGACTTTCAATCTACCTCCAAGTAGAAAAGGTCCGTTTCAGTTATTTGAGAATCGAGAAAATCTTCATAATTCTCGTAGCCATCAGCAATGCGATCAAGCCCATCTACGCGGCACTTATTCATTCCCAATAGCAGCGATATGCAGATACAAGCATTAAGGGGGATAAACAACTCAAGGTTGTGTCTAATTTGCGTACACCTGAGAATTGCGGAATGTGCGGAATTTATTAGCGATATTTAAATTTTAATAAGATCTGCTTAGAAGTCTTATTTTTCATTTTTTATCAAGTACTTCATAAAAATTTACAGATTTCTTAATTCCAAAAATTATTTTTGTGTCCTATAGACACAGATTCTTCAGACTTCTTGTTTGTCGTTATTAGTCGTAAGGCTTGGTTAAATACGTGCATTCAGGTTGAGTGACAAGAAGCGGGACGTTTACTTCATTCAAACACCAAATTACGCGATAATGGCATTATGGCTGTAATATACGCTAGATTATTTAAGTCCGCCTTTATAGGGAAGAAATAAGAAGCCATTTTGAACGCGGAAGTTGTGTGTAAGGATTGCTTAGAATTCTCTCTCCGGGCGATGTCTGCTATCCGGCTCATCTATACACCCTATCCCAGTTCTCTCTGACACAATGCCCATTAAAGTTACTGCAACCAACTCCCTTTTAAAGTCCGAGGTTCAAGGACATGAGATTAGGCAGGCAGACCCTATACTGGTGGCAGCGCCGGTCAACATCCCCCCCTTTGGAGAAATCATAGATCTCGACGACTAACTCCTATTCGCAAAGGCGGATTAAGAGTTTTATGATCCTGCACGGAGAGTGTAACTGCTACTCTGTGCCTTGCCATTCGACCTACGTCGCAAAGCAATGGACGCGGCTATCACACTTTTTCCGATATGGAAAATTGTTGTGAGACCCTTGTTAAACTAGCATCCCTTCAGAAAGAACAGCTTTTGACTTCATATATTTTCCAGCTGTACCAGAAACCTAGAGAGAGCAATGAAGATTTCGCAGGGATCCCCAAATTACTGGCCAAGCGGACAGTCAAGGATTGCTGTCCCTTTCAGTTTGCTTCGTGGATAGCGATCCAGTTCAAAAGGTTCGTATATTCACCCGCCTTGCCAGAGTAACTGGTGCAGATAAAAACGAGTAGATTGAGTCACCTCATTGATGTTGCAGCCGCTAAGCGCCAGTTTCCGTTTGTGTACTCCCAATAAACAGTAAACTCCCGGCAGGCAAAGACGAGCGCTTCCAAGCGGTCCCTCAACACAAAGTAAGATACAATTTTCGTCTTGTCTGCTTCCTTCACGATATCTTACTTTTATGCGGGTACGAGGCAAAATGGAAAGCCACACGTGCTCCTTTCTTCTGGTCTCGGGGTCAGCCCACTCGTTACTAAGCCCACAAGCCTTCCCGATGGTTCGTATCACTCCGCTGCTGCTGTACTACGCTCTGTAGACGGAAAAGAAATATCGGTAGTAGGAGAAGCCTCCATCAGAGCCTCAATAGGGAAGGAAAATTTGGAGGTGAATTTATTGCTGTTTCCAGAACTTGTCCAGGAAGTACTGATAGAAGCCGAATATTTACGCCAGTTCTGAGCGATGATGAACTTCGATGCAGGCACATTTACAACCCATGGAAGGCCCAAGAAGAAGGTTCCGACCCCCCAATCAAAGAAAGATGCAGACGATATATGCATGTCCCCAATCACCACCTTTGCCGTCCTCGGGATCAATTTAAGTCATCTTTGTGCTTACCGACGATGAGGGGAAGGAATCGCACTCCCCTATGAAGAGTTACTTCTAGATGTCCACCAGGGAAGAGATGAAACTGGAGCGAGCGAACATAGTCAAACACAGAATCGATGCTGGTGAGGTTAAGCCGATCTGGCAGCCGCCTAGACGCAAGACGAAGTACATCGGCTGATTGACGAAATGCTGCGCGACAACAAGATCAAGTCCTTCAAATCACTTTGGGCCTCTCCCATAGCATTAGTCAACATAGGTGACGACAGCCTGCGTCTTTGCGTCGATTATAGGAGGTCCAATGCAGTAACAAAGAAGGCTGCGTTCTCTCTAATCCACATTAACGACTCGTTGGAATCTCTGCAAGAAGCGAAGTGGTTCTCGACATTGGATTTAAAATGCGGCTACTGACAGGTGGGAGTAGCGTTGAAGGATGGGGAAAAACGGCCTTCGTTGTACCAAACGCAATATACGAATTCCAAACTAGGCCTTTTGGACTTTGCAACAGAGCGACCACCTTCATGCGACTTATGCAGATGGTATTGCATGGCCTATTTTTGAAAAACTGCATCATCTATCTAAGCGACATTCTCGTTTTTGGGAGGAACATCAAATAACATAACTCCAACCTTCGATTAGTACTAAATCGCCTTTAGGACGCAGCTTTGACGCTGAATCCGATGTTTTGCAGTTTTATCCAAAACCTGGTCACATTTCTGAGACACACGATTTCTGCAGATGGCATGGCGATCACGAAAGACCGAAAGAGACAAGTGAGGACTTGGCCGACACCTACCAATCAAACGGAACTTTGCAACTTCCTAAGTTTGGCTATCTATTACCGGCGTATTGTAAAATATTTTGCCAAAATCGCAGGTCTCCAATGCGAGTTAGCAGAGAAACAGGCAAAAAGGAGTCCCGTTGGTAAAACGAACACTCAGAAGCCTTTAAGGAGTTGAAGCGCGCTCCGCTGAGGTTCCTCCTTTTGTGCGGAACACAAGCGATGCAGCGGTGGGCGGAGTTCTATCCTAGAAGGATAAAGACAGGAGAGAACATGTGATCGCGTATTTCAGCTTACGTCGAAGCGCAAAGATGGGACAGAGCAATACAACGGAAAGGGAAGGTTAGATATTTTAGATATTTTAAACACCATTTTATAGGAAAGCAGTTTGTTGTGAGGACAGAACATCAAGCACTAACATGGTTAAAGAAGATGAAGGAAATCTACCACTCTGTTGCGAGGTGCTACGAAGAAACCGAGCAGTGCTGTTGAGAGAGCCATCAAAGGGTTCCCACCATTCATAAGGACAGTCGAGCAGTGTTTTACGTGATTCTGCTTGCCCTTTAAGAGAATTGCTCTACGTCTTCGTTAATGAACCATCCACATCAATCATTAAAATGGGTTTGATGCCTTGAGAAGACACGCATGAGTCAAACATATACATTAATGCAAGTGAATGGCATCATTGACCTTGACAATACTCATCACCCTCAGAAGCTCAAACCGGGCCTAAGGTTGCTGGGGCTGGGCCTTGTGCTGATCAAGACGCGATCTCTTGCTA